TTTTTTTTTTTTTCTAAATATTTATTTTCAGAACTTCGTCTAGCAATGGACACAATTGATAAAGATCAAATAGCTAAAGCTTTTGAACATTTTTTAGCTACTGGTAATCTTAATTCAAAAACAAATCTTGGTTTAAGACAGGTTTGTTGTCAATTATAAAGATTCTTTGATTAAATGAGAATAAAAAATAGTTTGAAAAGTAATAAGATAACTAATCAATTATTTTGTTATATAACTGTATATATCTTCTATTGAAATTTTATTGATTTATATGGGATAGATTTTTTGTTTTGAAGACTCAAAAAAAAAATATATATATATATATAAGAATGTTAAAATTTTAATTGTATTCTTCATACTAAAATATATTGTTCGATGTAGAAATAAGATCGAAGTAATCGTTTTGACATTAGAAGAATTCAAAGTATGTGAAAAACAATATGCAAACAATATCTATTAATAAAAAATGATTAACTTAATATAATTATAGTGAATATATAAGGTAGACAAAGGCGTAATTCAGCACTGACGACAGGAAGAGAGGAGGGTGCTGTTTGTTATTAAAGAAGAGATCTTAAAATATTGTTACGTTATCACGCAGGTCTAACAATTAGATGGCAAAATCTCAAAAACATGGTATCTCTAATCTTGTAAGGCTAGGCGAAAACCATACAAAAAAAAGAATCACAGTCTCAAAAATCTTATGCTAACGAGAGAGCCTTTTCAGGTGTCAAATCACTTTTCAACCGAGACGATGTTCATTTTATGAGTACTAATGAATAATAAAAAGTCTAGAATAGTTTGGCTCTCTGGATCTTCGTTCTCGAGATATTCAAACTTTGCATGAACAAAGTTCTTTATGAGATTAGTTTATTGAGCAAGTTATAACTTTTCTAGTACCATCTTGTATCTTGAAATATTTAATATTCGAAATTCTTCCATGTGTAAAAACAGATTTTATTCATATATTTACATCTCCAGAAAGGAAATACTAGAAAAGCTAAAACTTATCCAATGAACTTATCTCTTTGCGAACTTTGTTCATACAAAATTTAAAGTCGATACTCGAAGGTCGATTTTCCACGTGACTGAGGTGACCAAAGCTTTTTGTTGAAAAATCCAGTAAAATTTCGATATCTCAAGAATGAAGGCCTGGAAAATCAAATCATTCCAGACTTTTCTATGACTCACTAGTACTCATCAAATAAACATCCTCTCAGTCAAAAAGCTATTTAACATCGAGAGAGGTGCCGCCGTAAGTCGTATTATAAGTTTATTGAAAGATCTTGCTGCTTTATAGGATATCATTATAAGATTATAATAAATCTTATATGACGGTAAGATTTTACAAGAATCTTATGGTATGATATAATATAAGTTTCTGAGACGACTATTTTTTCTTACCTGGATAGGGAAAGTTGGTTTTCGCTATTATTTTATTAAGAGCAAAATAATTTATATTAATTTGAATAGGCTTAATCTATTAGATTTGGATCTCTAGTTGTACCTGAAATGACTGACTCATCTAAAAATCAAATCATAATATATAAATATTCGTATCAATCAATAAAATTATATTTTATGATTGTTAAAAAAAAACCATCTTTCATTTAGACAAGTGGTTTTTCTATTATTGCTGAACGTTTAAATATTCTTCGATTTATATCACATTTTCGTTCCGTTCATCGTGGTGATGCATTTACTGAAACAAAAACAACATCAGTTCGAAAATTACTTCCTGAAGCATGGGGTTTTCTATGCGCTGTTCATACTCCTGATGGTTCTCTATGTGGTTTACTTAATCATCTCTGTATGACATGTCAAGTAACACAAGAAACAGCAACTAATACATCTATCGAAGCTCTTATTGATACATTACTTTCATATGGTATGCGACGTACACCATCAATTGATATTGATTGTTATGATGTTATTCTTGATGGACAAGTTGTTGGGTATATAAAGTTTTTTTTTTTGTTTTAAATCATTTTAATCTTATCTTACAAAAAAAAAAAAAAAAACTTTTTTTGTTGTATAGATTTATTGATGATAATCGAGCATCATTAATTGCTGCACAACTTCGTTATGATAAAGTTACAGGAAATCGTCGTCGTTTTGGTGTATCTGAATATATAGAAATTGTTTTAATTCCGAAAGAAACTCATGGTTTATATACACTTTATCCAGGTTTATTTATTTTTACAACACCAGCTCGAATGATACGACCCGTAATGAATTTAATAACAAAAACAACTGAATATATTGGTACATTTGAACAAGTTTATCTTGGAATTTGTATAACTCATGATGAATTTATACTAGGAGTAAGAATATTTGATTTGGTTTTTGTTGTTTTCTTAATTTATTATTTTATATCTATGAAAAAAAACTTTCTTTTTTTTTCATTTAGTACACAACTCATCAAGAATTAGAACAATATAATTTCTTATCAATAACAGCTAATTTAACACCATTTAGTGAATATAATCAATCACCACGTAATATGTATCAATGTCAAATGGGTAAACAAACAATGGGTACACCATCATTAGCATATAGAAAGCGTAATGATAATAAATTATATTATATTACAACACCACAAGCACCACTTGTACGAACACGTGTTTATAATCAATATGCACTTGATGATTATGCTATGGGTACAAATGCAATTGTTGCTGTACTTTCTTATACAGTAAAATAAAATATTTTAAAAAAGAAAAAAATAAATTTATATTATAATTTTTGAGGGATATGATATGGAAGATGCTATGGTTATCAATAAAAGTTCAATTGAACGAGGTTTTGCTCATGGTGCTATATATGCATCGGAAGTAAGAATTAATTTTTTTGTTGTTGTTATTTGAATTAAATATGAACTGTAAAATTTCTTTTCTTTTTTGTTTTAGATGATTGATTTACAAGAATTAGTTACAGATAAAGTTGATCAAGGCAAACATCAACTTGTTTTTGGTATTATAATTATTAAAAAAAACAAAATTTAATCTTACTTATATTGTTGTTGTTTCTAGCATTAGACACAAAAAATCCTCATTGGCGTCATTTAGATACTGATGGTTTACCTGTTATTGGTTCAACTATACAACCAGATGAAGTTCTTTGTTGTTATTTAAATACATTAACACAAGAATATAAAACAATACGATATCATAAAAAAGAACCAGCACATATTATGTCAGTTACACTAGTTGGTGATGAAGATGGAAAGTTATTAAAATCAAAAGCATGGATTATGTATCGTATTATGGTAAAGTCTCGAATTGATTACTGATATTTGTTGTTTTTTGTTTGTGAAATACAATCTAAAAGAAGTGTTGAAGTATACGAGTAAAAATTTGAATCTCTCCCAGATCGTGAGAAACGTTGTTGATTTAATGTGTGATGTATAATAAACGGGACAAATTTTTTTTTCTCCTTTTTTTTACACTACTGTCCGACATGGTAGAGACTTTATTTTAGGCTTATTCGATAGAGAATGTTCTTCTCTACAAAACTAGTGTCTTTACTTTTGTCGACGAAAAATTTGAAAGATGAACATCTACTCAGTCGTCTAACTGCGACAGTCAAAAAAACAAAACATTCTTCATAAAGATGTGTCACTTTGAAAAACATGGTTTTTCCACGATGCGGCTCAAAATATTGTTAGGTGTTAGTTCAAAGTTTTTTTCTTCTGAGCAACAATAATGGCAGAAACTTTGAAAAAGTCATGGAAGCAGCAAGCATACAATTCTCTAGCCATTGATGCTAAGTACTTTACTTTTAACATCAGTCCTTACACAAATCAATAGATGCCTGCAGAAAATCAGAATTCGCAGTTCGACAATTGGATGGGTACTCATCTTTTTAATTTTGAGCCAACAAAAAAGTAAAGACAATAGTTCTGTAGAACAGGAAATTCTGTATCGAATGAGGCTAAAACGAAACCTTTAATGCATTGAGAAATGCCCTAAAAAGAGGAAAACATTTTGCCCTGTTTATAATGGGCCATCCGTTACGATCACAGACCGTATATTAATAATGTCTCGTCATAATATATGATCTGATTGCTTATTGCATTTCTGGAGAGGATGGTGATGAAGAAATGTGTGCGAAAATGGATAGAATAAAACGTTCTCCTTGTGATTAGTAATAGCAGCTACATCGTGTTTTACATCTTAATCCCATAAAGAGCTTTTTCTTTATGAAAATGAATATTTATTTTTAGCGTACACCTATAATTGGTGATAAATTTTCGTCACGTCATGGTCAAAAAGGTGTTTGTTCACGTTTATATCCAGCTGAAGATTTACCATTTACAGAATCAGGTCTTGTACCTGATATTATATTTAATCCACATGGTTTTCCATCTCGTATGACAATTGGTATGTTATTAGAATTTATGGCAGGAAAATCTGCTGTTTTACATGGTTTATCGCATGATGGTACACCATTTCAATTTAATGATGATTATCCAGCTGTTGATTACTATGGACAATTATTAAAAGCTGGTGAGAAACAAAAAAAGAAAAGCAAAAGATTTTGTTTTTATTTATATTTAAAAAATATTTTTTCTTGTTTTTTTGTCTTTAATGATTATTTAGCTGGATTTAGTTATTATGGAACAGAATCAATGTATAGTGGTACAACTGGTCTTCAACTTGAAGTTGATATATTTATTGGTGTTGTTTATTATCAACGTCTTCGACATTTAGTTAGTGATAAATTTCAAGTAAGGAAAATGGTTTCTTTTTTTTATTCAATATGAATAAAAGAACTATATTTGTTTGTTTTTTCTATTTAAAAAAAATAAAAAGGTTCGTACAACTGGTCCAGTTGATGCATTAACAAATCAACCAGTTAAAGGTCGTCGTCGTGAAGGTGGTATACGTGTTGGTGAAATGGAACGTGATGCATTACTTGGTCATGGTGTTGCTGGTATTCTTCTTGATCGTCTTCTTCATTGTTCAGATGAAACACGTGCATATGTATGTACACGTTGTGGATCATTATTATCATTAGTTAAAACTAAAATTGGTTATGTATGTCGATATTGTTGTGGTTCATCAACAAATACTGTACAACGTGTAACTATACCATATGTATTACAATATCTTATTGCTGAACTTGCTTCTGTTGGTATTAAAACACATTTTGATACACAATCAGTTGTACGAAATTTTGTTTTGTCTTCTCAATGAGATAGACATATGAAAAAAATAAAATGTTTTGTTATTGAAATGAATTGATTTAAGATTTTAATCGAGTTCTAAATGATATATTATAATTTACAAGATTTAATTTGTATAATATCACAATACTTGAATAAGAAAAAAATATTTTTTAAGTTAGACAAGTTTTTGATCGATAAAGAATTGCTATCACTGTGTTTACTGGAAACCTTTTTTTTTCATTAAGTGATAGAAAATAGATATCAAAGTTCAAGTTGAACAAACGTGTTATGATACAAATTATTGAATTTCTTGTTAGGAATTTATAATAATAATAAGATAATATGTATATATACATTATCGTCTATGATTTTTTTCCAACGGAGTCGAAAATTTTTTGTACGTTCTCTTAGAAAAAAAACCTCTTAACCTAGCATTCGAGAAAGTAAGGCCAAGTTTGGTAAAATCATGTTTCTGTTCTTAAAAATTTTTGTTCTTTAAAATGTCTGAGTACCGATTGCACTTTTGACTTAATAAAGATGTTCAAGAGAATAAATTTTTTTATTCACTCATAATTGAAATAACAAATGTGAAACATATCAATGAAAAGCACTTCGCAAATGATCCAAGAAAGTTTATCATGTATATATAAGTAAATCTATAAGTATTCAAACACTTTTTTTTGGAAAAAATTGTTTTATCGGCTTTTTTCATGCTAGTCAGGTTCGAAGAGGTCAGAAAACAGTTTTAACCGGAAGAAGTTGCCGACTTTAATCGGAAATGGTCGAGATTTGGAGCCTTTTCTCGAAACACCTAATGAGAACCACCGATGTTATCACAATATTTTGAGATCATGATTTAGCCCATTAGTAGAAGATCAATACACTAGAACAATCATCAAAAAATTCTTCTTTTGATTAAGATATGTCCGATATATAAATATTTCGAAACACAATATTGTTATAAAATTATAGCAATATACTAAATCTCGGTATTCTGAAACATTCAAATCTCGGTCATTTTGGGCGAAAGTTAACAACTTTTTTCGGCTCAAGCTGTTTTCTGATCACTTCTAACCTAACAAGCATGAAAGAGCAAATAAAAAACCTCTTCTCCAAGAGTGTTTTGAGTATCCATACGTATATAATGAATGAAAGAAAACATGATACTTGAATTATTACTTCAAACTATAAGATAATAAATGTTGCACTAAATTCTTTGTTTTTGTTCCAATTGAGACTCAAAACAATAACTTTAAATATAATTTGGAATAGAGACAAGCTCAATACAATATGGTATGATACAATTAGTAAAAGACGTCATTGAAATATAAGTAAAAAAATATATGCATTGAATTTTCGGTTTCGTACTTTACGGACAAAAATATAGAAATAAAAATTATTCATTTCAATATTCTATTTATTCATCTTTTAAGGACAACAGAGTAATCATTATAGCATTATTATTGTTACTAAGAAAATAGCTGACTATAAACAAGCTGAATTATTCTGATATTCATTCACTCGAATTATACAAACATTACTTGACGATGGAATCCATAGAATTTTTTTATGTAAAGAAACTGATTGACTTTTACTAACAGTGTATAATACAGCTTTATTGTGACAAATTTAATTCAGTTACTATTGAATTACAAATGCAAAATATATTCTAATTCATTTTCATTTTTTTTTAGTTTTCAAATACACTTAGAGATATTTTTTTTGCTTTATTAGATTATAGTTGAGACGAAGTTACGTTAACTTATTCATTAATGAGAATTATGAGGAAAAAAAATGTCACATGTTGAGACATGTGATCCGTATCTCTAGTTTGAGAAATGTAAAATCAGGAGAAAGATTAAAAGGATGATTCCTAAAATCTTGAAAAATTTTCATTTTTTTTTGTAATTCTTTTGTTCACCAATTCCCAAAAAATGCTTAGTCGCTTCCTCCGCTCGTCAAAATTCAGTCAACTTTAGCAAGAACCTTGCAATCGACCTACCCCTTCCTGATTCTGACAACATCGCAATATTTCTGTGTAAACAAATTAGATCATATTAGCTTTGACTCATATGTATTTGATTATAGATGAAAATGCTTTTGCGTTTTAATTTTTGAGTAAAAATGTAATTTACATTTGTTGAATCCATATACAATGGAATCATTTGAAACTCTCCATTTAGTATTCTCTTTTAACTTCATTTATTCATAGAAAGAATCTTTATATGTTCTTTTCTTATTATACAATTTTATTTGACGATCAATACGAATTCTTTATTCGTTAAGGATTACAACTGTTATAAAATATCGATTAATTTTTATATTATACAACTAATAAAATCAAATGCATATAAAGTTTATTCCGTTTACGTGCATCTAGTTTGCATATGAAGAATATAATCAAAATACACATGAGAATATCAAAATGAATAAATTGATTTTTCATATTATTGTTGCCATTTCATTTACACTCATGATCAGAGTTCAAAGAGAAAAGAAAAATATCCATACAACGAAAAATAAATATAATTAGAAATCAACAAATAAAGAGGAAAAGAAAAAAATCCTTGAGAATTTACTTGATGGCCTTCATTTTATATTTCAATGATTCAATGTATGCAAACAAAAGACAAATTTCGAATATAAGTATTGCTCATTGTTGATAAACTACCATTCTTAAATAAATAATACTCACTAGACAGAAGTAGATAAATTGTATTGATGTTGAGAAATTTAAATAGTCATATTTGTTCTTTTCAGTGAGTGACAAAGATAAAAAACAAGAGAAATCTTCGAACGATGATGAAAATAAAAACGAAACTAGAATTAATATTCCACTACCATCACCACCGGATGGAAATTGGAAAACGATTCAAGTTGAAGTTTTATATGATGAAGAAAAATGTGATTTAAATCGATATGATTTAGATACTGTTTATAAAATACTCGAGTAAATACAATAATTTTTACTATGATATCTATTTGATTTTATTTAAATATATATATACAGATCATCACCAAATGGTCTTACCGATGATCAAGTTAAAGAACGTATCGAAAAAGTAACTTTTCTTTCATTTTAATACACAAAAAAAAACTTCAAATTTTTTTAACATATTTTTCAGTTTGGTGAAAATAAAATTGAACATAAAGAACGACATCCAGTTATTCAATTTCTTCTTTTTATGTGGAATCCACTTTCCTGGTATATTTTTCTCTTTACTTAAAACACTCTCTTATAATACATACTTCTTTCTAGGGTAATGGAAGTTGCTGCTATTGTTGCTATTGCTTTAAGTAATGGTGATGGTGAACCACCTGATTGGCCTGATTTTGTTGGTATACTTTTACTTCTTTTAATTAATGCTACAATTGGTTATATTGAAAAATATCGAGCTGGTAATGCTGTTAAAGCATTAATGGCTTCATTAGCACCAGAATCTCGTGTTAAACGTAATAATAATTCATGGACAACAATTGAAGCTAGTCAACTTGTACCTGGTGATATTATTGCTATTAAACTAGGTAATATTGTACCAGCTGATGCTCGAATAATATCATCATTAGGTGGAATTATTTCAATTGATCAAGCAGCACTAACTGGTGAATCATTACCAGTAACAAAAAAAATAGGTGATATATTACTTGCATCAACAACATGTAAACAAGGTGAATGTGAAGCAATAGTTATATCAACAGGAAAATATACACAATTTGGTCGTGCTGCTCAAATGATTGGTAGATCAAAAGATGAAATGGGTCATTTACAAAAAATTTTAGCTAAAATTGGTAATTTTTGTATTGTTAGTATTTCTATTTTTATTATTGCTGAAATATTTGTTATGTATATTGGATTTCGATATAGTTATCGACGAGGTATTAATAATATATTAGTTTTACTTATTGGAGGATTACCTATTGCCATGTGAGAAATAATAATAATAATAATAAAATGTAAATAAAGATTTTCTTTTATTGAAATTTTCTAGGCCAACAGTATTATCAGTTACTCTTGCTATTGGTGCAAAACAATTATCTAAGCATAAAGCAATTGTAACTCGAATTACAGCTATTGAAGAACTTGCTGGTGTAACTATTCTTTGTTCAGATAAAACTGGTACATTAACACTTAATAAATTACTTATTGATAAAGAAACAATTATTAAATATACAAATATTGAAAATGATGATATTATTCGATATGCTACTTATGCATGTAATCGAGAAAATCCTGATGCAATGTATGTTGAGTTTAGAAGTATACGTATATTTATATATTTATTTATTTATTTTGTATTATAGTGATACATGTGTATTAGAATCATATGGTAATGCTGATTCAATAAATGATTTAATTATAGTTAAATCATTTATCCCTTTTGATCCAACAACAAAACGTACTGAAGTAACTTATCAAGATAAATCTGATTCAAAAATTTATCGAGTATCAAAAGGTATGCCTGATGCTATACTACATTTATGTGAAACAACAGAACAAGTTGATAAAGTACGACAAGATGTTAATGAATTTGCTAATCGAGGATTACGTGGTTTAGCTGTTGCTTTATCAAATGGAAATGAAAATTTTAAATTAATTGGACTTTTACCAATATTTGATCCACCAAGAAATGATACAGCTGAAACAATTAAAAAAGCACTTGAATTAGGTTTTTGAATTTCTCATTAGTTTGTTTTGGTTTTTTTTTTAAATAATTTATTTATTTTTAATTAGGTGTACAAGTAAAGATGATTACTGGTGATCAATTAGAAATTGCTAAAGAAACAGGCCGTCGTTTAGGTATGGGTGATAAAATGTATGTGTATGAAAATATAATTCATGATAGAGATAAATCATCAAATAATGAAGACGAAATAAATAAAATTATTTATGATGCTGATGGATTTGCTAGTGTATTTCCTGAACATAAATTTGAAATCGTTAAAAGACTTCAAGATATGGGTCATCTTGTTGCAATGACTGGTAAAATTTTATTTCATTTTTTTTTTAAATATTTTCTTTTATTAATTAAAGGTGATGGAGTCAATGATGCTCCAGCATTATCTAAAGCTAATGTTGGTATTGCTGTTGCCAATGCCAGTGACGCAGCTCGTTCTGCTGCTGCTATAGTTTTAACTGAACCAGGTCTATCTGTTATTATTCATGCTGTACGTGGATCTCGACAAATTTTTGTTCGTATGACAAGTTATGCTATTTATACATGTTCAATTACAATACGTATAATTGTTTCATTTGCTTTACTTATATTTATATTTCGTTATGATTTTCCACCATTTATGATATTAATTATGGCTATATTAAATGATGGTACAATAATGACAATATCAAAAGATCGTGTTGAACCATCACAACAACCAAATGAATGGCGTTTAAAACGAATATTTATATCAGCTATTATTTATGGTCTCTATTTATCGGCATCAACAATTGTTTTTTTTGCAATTATTATTCAAACAAATTTTTTTCAAAGTCATTTTGGTGTTGATACTATAATACAAACATCAGATAATGGTTATGGACATTCACATCTTCATTCAATAATTTATTTACAAGTATCATCAATAAGTCAAGGTTTAATATTTATAACACGTTCACATGGTTTCTGTTTTACAGAACGACCAACATTATTATTAATTGCTGCTTTTATTATAACACAATTATGTGCAACACTTATTGCTGTTTATGCTAATTGGGAATTTACAGATATACGTGGTTGTGGATGGACTTGGGCAGGTAAATCATTATGATTATTTATAACAGAAAAAAAGATAAGATATGAATTTTGTCTTTTTTTTCTTTAGCCATTATTTGGATTTATAATCTTATTTGGTTTGTTCCACTTGATTATATTAAATTTAGTCTTCAAGCTATATTTAGTCGTAGCTTACATGTTATAAAACCATTCGAACATATACATCGTCGTCTCATTGCATCAAAACAAGCTAAAGCAACGGTTTTACCATTGGAAATAATTCAAAAAACTATTGATGAACGTCGTGAACAATTAAGACAATTATCACAACGAGAAGTACGTGAAGTAAAACCAACAACATTCGATCAATTTACACAAACTGGATCTTCTTTTTATTCACCTTATACGGATACATTATCAGCTTTAAGAAAACGAGATCCACTTTTAAGATCAATATCATTAACTTAATTGATGTCATTTTTTTTTATTCTTATATTATATATGTATATGTGTTTATTTTAATTTCGCCAACAAATAAATATATGCTTGTATATGCTTAACGAAAAAACAATTGTTTTTCTCTATTTATGAATTAACTGAATGTACATATTGTTTTGTCTTTGTCGTTGTTTAATATATCTAACTGATCTACATCGAAATAGGTCAATCGCTTTAGGTTTAGTGCATAATCAGGACGTATTATTTTCTCATCGAGAAGATGAAATGACTTGGTTTTTTAATGATAAACATGGAACTATACGAATCATATGCATGTTGTATAGTGACATCACAGATGTTAAATATTATTTATGCGATGCCATTGGTTATCACATCTTGCAGCAGAAAGAAACTGATTGATTGTAGCGTGTAGTGAAGAATTCTACTGAAAATAGGTCATGAATTTTAAAAAAACTAAAAGATTATTTAAACATAATAATCTATTATGATAACAGTTCAATCCCTGAATGATACTATCTCTTATTTTCATTTTGTTATAAAATAACTGTCTATTTTTCAATAGAAGTGTAATCATAACAACAGACAATTGAAAATAACAAATGTACATTTATATTATCAAATAAAAATATTCTTTAATTATTTTTTAATAATTTTCTTGTTATCCTATAATATCTGAGAATTTTTTTTTTTTGTTGTCTTATAATAAATGATTTGTTGTTGTTGTTTTTTTTGATAGACTATAATTTACAACAAAAATATGGATGATGATTTTCTTGCTGAACATGTTCTACCTTTAATAAATCTACATAATCAAGATGTAGATATATTAAGTGAACAAATGATTGCTTCGATTGATAATAAAATTCTGCATTCAGCATCATCATTGATACCAGAAACCGATTCAGAAATAACATTAAATGCAACAAATGAACATGTTGAATTAACAAGTAAATTTTTTAATAATTCTCAATTTTCCGATATTCGTCTTCGTGTTGGTACAAATATTTATTATGCGCATAAATTTATTTTGGCTAAATCAAGTGATGTATTTGCTACACTTCTTTATTCGCAACATTGGACATCAAATCAATCAGAAATTTTACTTGAAGAACAAGATGAATGTCAAGGAGATGTTTTTGAAAAGTAAATTCAATCTATTATCTCTTTTTTTTTATATTTTTTATATAATATAAAATAAAAATTTTTTTAAATAGATTTCTTAAATTTTTTTATACAGCAAAAGTCACACTTCATGAATCTATTATCATTGGTTTATTATGTCTTGCAGATAAATATAATGTACAATCGTAAGTATCAAAAATTATAAAATGATTTCTTAATTTTATTGTTTTTTTTGAATAAATATTAGTCTTCGTAATTTATGTACACAATATATGATAATGAAAGCTAAACCTCCTAATGTTCGTAATGGTATTGCATGGTATTCTGTAGCTAAACAATTTTCTCTTGATGATTTACGTAATGTTTGTATTAAAACTGTTGCTTGGAATATGGAATATCTATTATCTAATATAAATCAAAATGAATGGTATCAATGTGAATTTGATTTTATTCGTGATCTTCTTTCAACATCAAATCTTGTTATTACAAATGAATATCGTTTATATACATCATTAAGTGATTGGCTTTTAGCACGTTCATCTGATAATCTTATATTATCATATGCTTGTGAACTTTTACCATTAATACGTTTTTCACAAATGTTACCTATACAATTATATCAAATTGAACAATCATTTTTATATCAAAAAAATAATAATCAACAAATTCAAGATTTACTTAAACGTTTATTATATCAAGCTTATCGTTTTCATACATTAGCATCATTAAGAAGAGATATTGATAAACCAGAATTTTTACCATTAGAATGGTATTTACCACGAGAATATACAGAAATGAATATAACGTAAATATAATTTTCTTTTCTTTTTATATATAAATTGATTTTGTAATTGAATATATTTATATAATAATTTTAGTGATCGTGTTGATATTCAATCAACACTTCGTTTTGGTATTCAAGTTGATGTTCAAACATGTTCATCACCTGTTCCATCGACTGAACGTACTGCAGATTGGAAAATTGTTTATCGTAAACGTAGTCATGATAAATGGACACTTAAAATACATCGACATGATGCATTAAATGAAACTCATGCACAAGTAACAGCAATTATTTATGATTGTGAACGACGTGTTTTACAAGTTGATCAAAGTGAAACATTTATATTTACAATATCAAATCAATATGATCTTGAAATTGTTTTGAATAATCCATATGAAGCTAAAGAATTATATCTTCTTATAAAACCTGTTATTTCTTAAATAGCTGTTTGCTTTTGTTGTATATAAAATTTTCTAGTCAAATCAAATTAAATTTAGAAAAAAAAATCATCTTTCATGTATTGATTTAGAATATTCTTTTAATATTCTAAATCAAATGCGTTTCAATTGTATTCTATCACATTCTAACACGAAATCAGTATGCAAAAAAAAAATACAAAGAACTGAGAGTAAGATTATTCGTTGATATTTGCTTTCTTTTTAGATATATGTTAGCATTGAAAATCTACTTTTGCTCTTCTTTATAGAAATAACAAAACAGATGAAAGTCTTACGAAGTAAACAGTTTGCTATACGAAAAAAAAAACAAGCTCGAGAGATTTATACAGTTGATAGTCAGGATCGAGAAATTTGCTGATGAAGCAAGAAGTGTCGTGTCTGTGAGATTCTTGCGACCTAAGTATAACCTTTGTTATGTATCAACAAGACTATTTTCTTTTGTGTTGTTCTATTTTATTTTTAACTTTTAATAAAAAAACAAAATAAGTAAATAAAATAACTACAACGAAATTAAATATAATTTCAAATCTATTTTCATGAAACATACATACATATTATTAGAATTCATTTTTCTCATAGTCATCCCTTGGAATTGATAATAATTAATCTGTTGTCAAGTTCTCTATTTTTGGAAATCCCACAATCAATTATAGTTCGATTCATTAATGTGTCAATAAATGCATTATTTTTATTCCAATATGTTAGCTACTCTGATATTAACATGCAATTCATACATCTCTCAATGCTGGCTGCCTCGAACCAGCACTGATGGAGAAGTACGAAGACTTTTAAAGAAATATATTGAAATATGCGAAAATACGAACAAGTAAAAACTAGCTGGAAAAAGTAGGGAGAAGTAATGAAGCCTGCCTTTTCCCTCTCAGGTTGTTTAACGTTAAGTATGTCATTTCTTTTAGCCGAGGCACACCCTAATTGTATGATTGAAAATTGATTGATTTAACCTTGTTGAGGAAATAATGAAAATCATTAGGCATCTTTTCTTTTTTTCATCATTTTCATGTCGATAATGGCTTCTATCATCATGTGAATCACATAATAGAATTGAAATCTTACACTACTCATAAATATGGTTCACTTCATATAATACGTTATTAGAATTTATTTCTTAACTTAATATGAGTTACAGCATATTTTTAATTGTTGTTATTTATTTATAAAAGATTTTGAAAGTTTTCTTTTGATTTTTAACTACGATGCTATTTTAATTCAGAGAATGTAGAATTATTAAACTCTTCCATAGCTTCTTCGCATCTGATTATATTATAATAATATAAGAGCAATAAAATCCAAAGACAAAAGATTCCGAACTCAGAAATCATCGAATGAACTAAGGATCCGGTAGAATCGTGAAAGTTTCGCATTGGGTGACCTAGTATGTAATAGATTATGATTTATGTAAACGACTGCTCATGAGGCCTAAAAGAGCCAGTATGGCATAGTTTGTGATCGTGGTAATATGATGCTCTAGCAATCATCAAATTTGTTTGTTCTATTACTTGATATTTTACCTGTCGATATCAGTGTTAAAGCAATCTAAATAAGAAAATTACCTTGAATATATTTTCATAATTTACCAATTGATATTATTTTTAAATTAAATGTAAATTAAGAGGAAATCATTTTATTATAGCACAATAATTTAACGACATATATTGTATTTTACTCAAATCCAAATTAAAAGAAAATGAAATATGTTGATTTGATTGTTATGTGTTCAACAGGAACCATGTTGTTCTATTATTCGAAAATGATATTGATAGATGTAGCACTAGCCTAAATTAAGCTTAATCTATTCAAAGAAATAGAGATTTTCTGCTATTTGTTTAATATCCATTCGAAAATATTTCATATGAAAATGCTATTAAATATCTTAGGCTTCTTCTTCTGATAGTCGAAAAAGACAAGATAGAACAGACTAAATGTTGTTGAATTCGACGAGCTGTCGACAGTTAAATACTATGAGGTTGTTTCAGAACCATATGGCACCCGACCGGGCATTCCTTAGTCAACTTTGACTTTTCAACAGCTTATTATAATGTAATCATTTACTTTTTTGTAGTTAGACTTTGATACATGTATGGAATATAATAATTAGATAGTTGAATCATTCTGAACTTATGATAAGCCTATCTTGAGAAAACTTCTACACAATATATCATTACAATCATCCGTATTATTTAAAGAGTAGATGAATGTCTATAATGGGCAGTCATACAAGTTCAGAAAAGAATAAATTGAAAACAAATAAAAATAAGCTTTTACACTCGAAAAATATTTTTTAAAATGATATATTATCTATTTGTATCAATGAAAAACAAATGCAAAACAACTATTTGAGTCAGTTAATTAAGGTAAAAACAAGATTGGCCTTTATACATGTAGAATATTATGAGATGATTTTGTTTTTCTATTATTCAATCGAAAATGAAAACATTATTCTTATTACATTTCGTTGTCATTTTATTGTTTAAAACATTTTTCTTCTCATCTTTTTTTATTTAGCATCTTTTAAATTTATGTCTTATCTTTGTTTAGAAGTACTATCATTATCTGGTGTTAATCGTGCCATAATCACTAAAATATCATCTGGTTTAACATAAAAACGAACAGCATGATTAACTAGATCATTAGCAACATCTTTTAACAAATGATTCTGAAAAGCAAAAAAACAAAAAAAAAGATTAATTTCTATTAAAAATAAAAAGAAAAAATATACTTTAGAAAGAATTCTTTCAATCAATTGATCAGGAACATTATCAAATAGACCGTCAGTAGATAGAATAATTATATCATCTAATGTTAATTGAAAATTTTGACAAATAGCATCAAGACTTCTAAACAAAAAAAAATATTGATAAAGCCTTTTTTTGTTGTTTCTCTATGGTTTTTACATGGTGTAAAGTTATTAAAAGTAAATTAGAAAATTTTCTCTATAATAACGGTATTGAAATATTACAAGATAAAAAAAAAACTTACGATATTTGTGTATAATTGAGTCCTTTTCTTCTTAATGATGCTGTCCATGGATATACATCCAATTGTCTCGGACAATCACCATTCATTTTTTGTGAACGTGATCGATAAACAACACGACCTTTTCGAACAATAACATAACCTGAATCGCCAATATTTACCGAATTAAGTTGACCTGTACCACAATCAATACCAAGTACACATGCTGTAGCACTGCCTAATTTTTTTTTTTTTGTAATTGAAAATTTTCCGATGAACAATAAGTAATGAAGAGTAAAAAAATTAAAAATACATACCAAAACAATTTTCAATTTGAACACGATCAAATGCATGACATAAAAGACGTTTAGGTTCAGTTGTTGCATATTTTCCTGTATGAGCCAAATCTGAACAATGCCGCATTAATGATTCAGAAAAAAGACGAGGATCAAAACCATACATTGAATTACCACCAGCACCATCCGAAATTCCTAATTTTAATTAAGATTTTTTTTTCATTAATTTTGAAATATTAAAAAACAAACAAAGAAAAAAATAATACCTAAAAAAGTTTGTTGATTATGCCGCATTGTAAATCCAGCATCATCTCCAAAACATCCATTTGTTAAAGAAAAATTTTCATTTGGTACAGGTAATCGTGTATTTTTTTTCATACCACATGTTGCAAATTCAAGTGAAAGTATTTGATAATTACCAGATAATATTGATGTAATTGGTTTTTCATGACCATGTTTTGTATGATGATGGTGTCGTCGATAATGATGATGATATCGATAAATATCACTTAATGGTTGAGAATGTTCAGATAGTTTAATAAGTTCACTAAAAAGTTTATTTGAATAAAAACTATCTGTAATATCTACATAATCTGGTTCATGATGACGATGATTGTGATCATGAGAAGGTGAACTACTTAATTGTTTGGTTGAATTTGAAAGTAATTTTTCTTCAGTAACTTTCTTAGAAGTTGTTGATGGTTGATGGTATCTATTAAGATAATGTTTCAGATTTTCAACATCACCATCAGATAATTTAAATGTAGAACGATTATTTGATTTTTTTGGTGATGTTGATTTAATAATATCTTTACCAATATCTTCTAAACGAATAATTTCAAAATGTGCATCAGGCATAGTTGTTTCACTGACAATATGAAACAACCTTCACTCAACGATATTATTTGGCCTCTAAATCAATAATCCACCATATAATGAAATATTTTTGTATATTGTTCGTTAAAACGTTTGTATTTGTGTCTCACTATGAATATGTATTTGTGTGTGTTGCATGACTGATTCAACAGAACGAATAGCGAAAGAAAAAAAAACCCGAGTGAACATATGAAAAATGGTAGAATCGCTCGACCGGAACAATAAGTAACTATGACATTCATATATAAACGGCTAGGACATTTTCTCTTGCTCTTTTTTCCTTTTTTTTTTGCTTTTATCATGTCCTATAACTAACGATATAGACAAGATGTTGTGTGATAAATAAAAAGTCTAAAGATGAGATGTCCTTGTCTTGTATACATGTGCTGACAAGGCTAACGAAAGTTGGTTTTCAAGGTAGTTACATGGGAGATCATTTTTTAGATAAAAAAAAAAATTTTTTTTTATTATATATTCATGGTATTTCATTTAGAAAAAGAACTGATTGTCGATTGTATAAATTTGTGAGAGAAAATATCAAATTTAATCTTTGGGTGTTGTAATTATTTTTCACGTAATGCATTATATTTTGTTCAAAATAATTGTATAATAAGCGTAAACATAAATTTTTGTATCATCCGGGCAAGATGTTAAGTTGCAAATATAACATTCGATATCTAAAGTATTCAATCTTCTTTTATATCACACTGAGATATCCAGGTAAAGGAGCTGTACACATACCTGGATACTCATTCAAGGATGAAATATGTGCAGAAAAAGAATATAGATTAAATCTTATTGCTGCGACGGTAACATGATTTTCATTGTCGAGTATTC